TTCGATAAAGAGAATATACGTATATGAAGGGGGAAAAAAAACACAATAAATAAGGAAATAGATTTGTGAGTTGTGAAAAAGGAAATGGGACTTTTTACTTATAAGAACGACGAAGCATTGTGAGTTGTGACATGTTTTCAAAGCCCTTTATGAAAGTAAACAACATGCTAGTTGAAAGTGTAATCCAGAAACAAAGCAATGTTTATTACGAAGGAACGAAACAGAGTGGAGATCAATTGGACATGAACAAGTCTAATTAGACATTGAGCCTTAAGCACTTAGAGCATCTGCATTGGAGACATTTTGTATGTGTCTTTAAATATAAAATTATTAAAAGTTGAATAAAAGGAAGAAAGAGAGTGTTTTTGGTTGAAATAATGGGGTGTATTAAAATATAAAATTAATAAAATTTGAGTAAAYAGAMGAGATAGTYGYTATTWTTGYAGAGAGYATGTCTCGMYGAAGACAAAGTTGGAGAGAGAATGGATGAAAGTTGGAGTGTGTTTAAATATAAAATTAATAAAAATTGAGTAAAATGATGAAAAAGAAAGTATAAAGTTGAGTAAAAAAAAGAGAGAGTGTGTTTTTAATATTTTTTTATTTAGAGATATCCACATTTTGTCTCCAATGCGGATGGTCTTACGAAGCCCATCATCAAATATCTTGTGAAGAAACAATACGTGTGTTGTTATCTTGAAAAAACAGAAAAGATATTTCAGAGCAAACTTGTTATGAGAAAAGACAAAAATGGAAGACCACAAGAACATGTGTCTAATGCTCATTGAGCGATCTAGGTCTCATCTTTCTATACATTGTAAAAACCCAACATGTAAAGTGTGTGTGAGAGAATACTAAGAAAAATCATTTCTTTGCGATCGTCTTTTTCCTCTCCGCCGTCTTTACTTTCGTTTTCAATCGTTGAGTGTGTAAGCTCGTACTGTTGAAATCTCAACACTAGATAACTCTTCTTCACAAAGTCTCATAGGAAAATTTCTTGACGGACTCAACGCCGCCGTCTTTCGAAGAAACAGAACAATCGCTCCGACAACAATGGCTTCTCTCCGGCGACATGACTGTCCAGAAGCAAGCAGACAGCGATACGTTCGTGTTCGAATTCAGACAAGAGAATGACAAAAGAGAGTTTTTGACAACACACCTTACAACGTCAATGGAGTTATCTTAGTAATCAAGGAACCAAATTCTTCCGACATGATTGATTTCACTGTGGCTTCCTTCCTTGTCGGAGTTGTGGGTTTACCATCCTATATTTCCACAAAAAAAATACCTCCCGAATCTCAAATTTCTAACCGGCGACAACAATTCTGTTAAAATATCCACCGACCACGAAGTAATCTGGTTCATAGTGGAAGTTGATCTCAAGAAGCCACTCAGAGCAGGATTCTACATAGAAGAAAACCGGTTTGTGCAGTTGAAATACTTGAACTTGGGAGATTTCTGCTACAAGTGTGGAAGGATTGGTGACGTCAAGATAAGCTGCGACAGGGTTAGGGTTCCTAAGGAACATGCCTTGAATGCCACGTCAAGAACGCACGTCTATGGCCCTTGGTTAAGTTTCTTCCTCTGAAAAGTGTTACGAATTGGTCCTGAAGAAATCACAGAATGGTGCTCGTGAGTGCGAGGAGACTCTCTCGTATGCGCAATTCTTCATAGAGATCGAGACTAACAATGTCTTTGTTTGCGACCCTCGATTCATGTGGGAAACAGTATCCACTCACAGATTTCGTTTCCCCTGTTCTTACCTAGACACAGAAACAGAGCGAGCAGATTCTACTACTACTACTTCGAAGGCGTACGAGGTTATAGAGAGGGAAATTTTCGAGGTTATATACAAAGCCATTGATCGAGAGGTTCGTAATACAATATCATCAAGGAGACACAAGAGAAAATTCAGTGACCTTATGTCTTTATGGCTTAGATGACCATTGCCGGTGCTCTTACCCAAAAATGTACACC